GTACTTTGAAATTCATTTTTTTAATTAATCTCCAATATCGATATTAATTACCCCACTGTGCGACGAGGTAGATGTTTGAAATCACAGACAGACGGCTACGTCGATCCGGATTAAAGGCGCAGTTGATCTGATCGAAATTGTGGTTTGACAGACGGCTGTAATGCCGATTAACGAGCCGCGAAGTCATGGGCTCGAACCACGGCCAGTAGAATTTTCACTTAAATCTTTTTTATTCATTCAATTCTAACTTCTGTATTTTTATACCCGAGCGCACTTGTACACAAGGGTATATTAATTTTGTTCACATAACGGTTGTTTGTAACAGCCAAAACGTTTCGAGATAGATATAGACAAATGTATACATAAATGCTCAGAATGAATAGAGAAATCTATTAAGCCATGTCTGTCTGTCCGTCCGTCTGTCCGTCCGTCCGTGTACACGATAACTCGAGCAAAAATTGAGATATCGCAACAAAATTTGGTATGTAGGTTTCTTTTAATTCAAGGTAGTTTGGTATTGAAAATGGGCGAAATCGGACTGTAACCACGCCCACATCCCATATAACGGTAATTTGCGGGAATACGGAAACTGCGATATTTTAGTAACTACTGAAGATTATTTACTCAAAATTGTTATTTACAACAATTTTTAGATCAAAAATAAGAATATTATAAATTTTTGGAAAATGGGCGTAGCCACGCCTACTTATGGTTACATGTGTATATCTTGGTAACTGCTGCACCAATTTATTCCAAACTTGGCACAGTTGTTGGCCTTGGTACAGTACACTAAATGGCCGAAAATTTAAAAAATCGGACAATAATCCACGCCCACATCCCATATAACGGTAATTTAGAGAAATACAAAATCTTTGATAAATCAGTAAATATTAAAGCTTATTTATTCAAAATTGATGCTTGCAACAATTCTTTACCAAGAAATACGTTTATGGTAAAATTTTGGAAAATGGGCGTGGCACCGCCCACTTATGATCACATATATGTATCTCGGTAACCGTTCTACCAATTTGTACCAAACTCGGTGTGGTTATTGTGCTTGCCACATGAAAGAAAAACGTTGAAAACTATTGAAATCGGACTAAAATTACGGCCGCTTTTCATATAACGGTAAATTTCAGAAATGCGTGAAACTGCAATATTTCGAAATTTAAGGACGCTAATTTACTCAAAATTGATACAACCCGGCTTACCATGTAGCGGAAGGTTTCGGAAAGGTGATAAAACATATATTTAATACTTGCGCCGGGTATTTAATGTTCGGCTCCGCCCGAACTTAGACTTTCTTATTTGTTTAATGTTGCTTTTAGTTAGTTGTTGTTGACTTTTGAATCACATTAAACTATAAATAATAAAATAAATAATCTGAAATAAAATAAAACAAGAGAAAAAATAAATAAAATAAAATAAACTCGTCTACCGCGGTTTTGCTTACTTGAGTAATATACAAAAGCTGGCCGTTTTGGCCAGTGTTGTCATCAAAAATTGCCCTGCTCCGCATTTGAGGCAATGCTGCCGTCTGTCCATGCTCTTATCTAGTTTTGCATAATATACCATCTTAATTTAATCTTTGTTACACAGTATTTATAGGCGCATACACTTTTATTTTTGATTGCATTGGAGTTTTATTTGTGTATTCATTTTCAGTAGCTCGTTTTTCAGATGATCGTTTTAATTGTGTATCCTAGTTAAGTCGCCTGTAACAGTTGCACTTTATTCTTGGTCTGGTTCATTTGCGACGAAATAAAAGAAAAAAAGGCGAATCAAAATAGTAGATAGCGAAGATAAAAATGCACACACAAATAGGCCAATGGCAACATGCTTTCCA